ACTTTGGAGGCTATGATGGAAGGATCACTTGAGATCAGGAGTTCAAGACTATTCAGGGTGACATAGTGAGACCCTGTCTCTAAAAACATTTTTTTAAATAACTGGGTACAGTATCATGCGATTATAGGCCCATCTACTTAGGAGGATTGCTTTAGCCCAGGAGTTTGAGGCTGCAGTGAGTTATGATCAGGCCACTACAATCTAGCCTGGGCAACAGAGTGAGACCCCATCTTTAAAAACATAAAATAAAATAGGTTAAGATGGCATTTTTTATGTTATTTCTTTTAATATAATTTTTTAAAAAACAATACTTCATTGTATTTTAAGATTATTTTGACTATTCTGTACCCTTTGTAATTCTATATGAATATTGTTAGGATCAGCTTGTCCATTTCTGGAAAAAAGATAGTTGGAATTTTATAGGCTTTTCATTGACTTTGTCTTCTAGTCATGCATATGGAATGTCTTCTTCGGTAAATTTATTCCAAAGTATTTTTTTAATACCTTTTTTTTTTTTTTTTTTTTTTTTTTGAGACAGAGTCTTGCTCTGTCACAGGGCTAGAGTGCACTCACATCATCACAGCTCACTGCAACCTCCAACTCGTGGCCTCAAGCAATCCTCCCACCTCGGCCTTCCAGAGTGCTAGGATTACAGGCCCAGCATATTTTCTTTTATAACGTTTTAAATGGAATTGTTTTCTTAATTTCATTTTCAGATCGTTCATTGCTAGTATATAGAAATACAAATGATTTTTTGTATGTTGATCTTATATCCTATAACTTTGCTGAACTAATTTATTAGCTTGAATAGTTTTTTGTAGATTTTTAGGGTTTTTTTCTATATTAGATCATGTTATCTGCAGATGGTGATGGTTTTCCTTTTTCCTTTATAATCCAGATGCTTTTTTTTTTCTTTTTCTTGCCTGATTGCCCTGACTAGAACCTTTAGTGCAATGTTGAATAGAAGTGATGAAAGCAGGCATCCTTTCTTTTTCCTGGTCTTAAGGGGGAACCTCTCAGTTTTTCACCATTAAGAATGATGTTCACAGATGCCCTTTTACCAGACTGAGAAATTTCCCTTATTATCCTTGTTTTTTAGAAGTTTTTTTGTTTGTTCATGGGTTGGGGGGGTTGTTTTTGTTTTTGATTTTTTGAAACACGGTCTCACTCTTTTGCCTGGGCTAAAGTGCAGTGGGGTTATCATAGCTTATTGAAACCTCAAACTCTTGGGCTCAGGTTATTCTCCTGCCTCAGCCTCCCAAGTATTGGGGACTACAGATGCATGCCACCACACTCAGCTAATTTTTAAAAATTTTTTTTTTTTTCGAGACAGAGTCTCGCTTTGTTGCCCAGGCTAGAGTGAGTGCCGTGGCATCAGCCTATCTCACAGCAACCTCAAACTCCTGGCCTTAAGCAATCCTGCTGCCTCAGCCTCCCGAGTAGCTGGGACTACAGGCATGCGCCACCATGCTGGCTAATTTTTTTTATATATATTTGTTGGCCAATTAATTTGTTTCTATTTATAGTAGAGACGGGGTCTTGCTCTTGCTCAGACTGGTTTCGAACTCCTGACCTCGAGTAATCCACCTGCCTCCGCCTCCCAGAGTGCTAGGATTACAGGCGTGAGCCACCGCACCCGGCCTAAGTTTTTTTTAATAGAAAAAGGGTCTCACTATGTTGCTCTGGCTGGTCACAAATTGTTGAGTGTTTTTTATCATGAAAGAGTGTTGGGTTTTAGATGATTTTTCTGTGTCTATTGAGATTATCATTTTTTTTCCTTTATTGTGTTAATATGGTATATTAACATTGATTGGTTTACATTGATTCATACATTGAACCAAGATTACATTCCTGGGTTAAATCCCACTTGATCATGATGTATAATTCTTTTAATGTACAGTTGTATTCAGTTTGCCAGTATTTTGATGAGGATTTTGCATCTATATTCACAAAAGACATTGGTCTATAGGTTTATTTTTTGTGATGTTTAGGTTTCTGGTTTAGGTATCAGAGTAATACCTCTTTACCTGTCTCTAAAAAATAAATAAGTACATAAATAATGTTTTAAAAATTTCTTATGTTCTGATTAGAAAGCATTAAGATATATTAGATACAGACCAAATCTGGTGATTTTTAGAGAGGAAAATAGGAGAAAAATTAATGATATATTCAGAATTGCTTTTAGCTTCAATGGAAAAAGACTTAAGAAATAGTTAAAACAAAAAGATCACAATTAACAAAAGTATATGTTAAGTGAATTTGCTAGTTTTTTCTCTTAGAGGCTAATACACACATGTACAATATACATTTATGTAATTAAACATTGATAAAAAATGACACAAAGGATACATAAAATTACATGGGTTTTTAGGAGAATTCCTTTTAAAATTTTATGTGTTGTATCAAATAATATATCTTGGGAAAGCCCCTCATCATCATCAATCATTAGCTATAATTAATTACAGACATTCTTTGAGAGACATTGTAACATATGTTGTATGTAGGAAACCAAAAGATTCTGCTCTCAAGTTGTTTATTCATGCAGTTAGGAAATATACTGAAAAAGTGAAAATGCCATAGCCAAATAAGTAAAAGAAACAGTAACTCCTGTAAAATTTTTGAGAAAGAAATCACCATGTGCCATAGTGGATCAGAAAACTTTGTTGACCATGAATTTGGGCTAACTTTTTGGGGTATAAGTAAACTTAGGTAGAAAGAAAAACAACCTTTCAGGGGTGAGGGGTGGAATAGACAGAAACCAGGAGGCAGAAAATCATATATTTGGCTTTAGGTCAGTGATGGTGACTGGCCTCACCTGTGAGGTTTTATTAGCAGAGTGTTGGTAGATTAAGTGGAAAGGTACTGGTAACAGCTGACATTTGAGAGCTTACTCGGTGTCAGTCATTGTGCTAAACACTTGACATATTTTTATATAACTTAGTCTTCACAAAGCTGATGTAGATGATTTATTACTATTTTGAAAATGAGTAACATTACTTTAGAAGAAATTAAGCTGCTTTCTTAAGGTCAGTCTTCTAGTGAAGGGTCAAAGTCAAAATTCAAATCACTTGACTTCAACATCTGTGCTCTTAATTACGTGCAAAGCTACTAAATTACAGTTAGGTTGTAGAAAGTCTTGAGTAGCAAGATGCTAGACTTTATCCTTGTTCTCTGGTATATACAACAATCATCTAAAAACTCTCTACCAGGAAATCTTTCAGCAGACTCCCTGAAATTAATCTGCTTAAAGTTGCTGGCAAATTTTAGGGTCACTCAAAATGTAGACTCAACAGCCCAGACTCGGTGGCTCACACCAGTAATCCTAGCTCTCTGGGTTGCCAAGACAGGATGATCACTTGAGGTCAGAAGTTTGAGACTAGCCTGAGCAAGAGCAAGACCCTGTCTCTACAAAAAACGCACCTGTAGTCCTAGCTACTCGGGAGGCTGAGGCAAGAGGATTGCTTGAGCCCAGAAGTTTGAGGTTGCAGTGAGCTATGATGATGCCACATTGCTCTCTACTTGGAGCGACAGAACAACACTGTCTCAAAAAAAATGGAAAACAAAAAAGATTTTAAAAATGTAGACTCAATTATGTTGGAGATTCTAGGATTTCAGTGCTAAAAGCAAATGGGAAGTTTTCGGAAGACTGGAATATGTGACTCTCCTTTTGCATTAGGCGACACTGGACTATGGAATGTATTCTCGAGAAGAAGAATTATTAAGAGAAAGAAAACGTATTGGAACAGTTGGAATTGCTTCTTATGATTATCACCAAGGAAGTGGAACATTTCTGTTTCAAGCTGGTAGTGGAATTTATCATGTAAAAGATGGAGGCCCACAAGGATTTACAGTAAGTTGGAGTTACTACTGGTTAATTTTTTTTTTCGATCCAAAAAGTAATTTGTACCCAAATCAGAAAGGTAATTAACAAACCAGAAAGTTCAGTATACCTACCAAAAAATTTAATAGCAATGAAAATAAGGAATATGGATATTAATTCACAATTTTAAGGGTTAATTTTTCTAATAACATTAAGATATAATTTTTTAAATACTATATAGGAAGATAGAGTAAAGGGCATCAATTTTCATTTTCTGTATAAACACTAAGGAGAATTTGGAAGATAATGTTATCACAGGGGAATTCATTTTTGGTTCTCTTGAAAGCTGATTCATCTTAATAAATGATTTTATATGTTTGGTTTTAAATTTTAGGCAATTCATTATGAGCTGTTGAAACTATTTTTTTGATAGAATTGCGATGATCCTGGCTTTCATTATGTTGTTATGAGCAAATAATTTTATATTGGTAAAATTAATTTTAAAAGTGAATAAATATTCAATAAATAATAAAAATGTTTAGTAAACAGTAATTTCTCTGTTAAACAGGTTGAGGCAACAAAATTTATTAAGTGCTGTTTTATTGTCTTTCCTCATATTGCCCTTAGTGTTTTCCTTCAAAGTAAACAAATGAGTCTTCCTTTATAAGTTAAGGCAGTTGAAAGAGTATTTTTCTGGTGAGCAATTATCATATTTGACATTTTACCTAGAAATATTGTTCATGTAATGGGAAGGATGCTGGCAAACAAATGTATATGTATCAGCCTGATACTTACTTAAAATGTTGTCTTCTAGCAACAACCTTTACGGCCCAATTTAGTGGAAACTAGTTGTCCCAATATACGGATGGATCCAAAATTATGCCCTGCTGATCCAGACTGGATTGCTTTTATACATAGCAATGATATTTGGATATCCAACATCGTAACCAGAGAAGAAAGGAGGCTTACTTATGTGCACAATGGTAAGGCATAGTTCTTCAAATCTACTTTTCTGAAAAGTATTTTTAAAGTTCAATTTGCTTTTGCTTGCATTTTGAAATTGAAACAAGCTGAGTGATCTTTATTTGAAATTCAAGTCTTTAAAATTAAAAAATAGAAAAATACAGAGGATAACTAGTACATACTACCTGTATAATGCTGCCTTGTAAGATAGGGCTCTCACTATGTTTCCCAAGCTGGACTTGAACTCCTGGGCTCAAGCAGTCTTACCTCTCAGCCATTTGAGCAGCTGGGACTGCAGGTGCATACCACTATGCCTGGTTATAATGCTCTCTTGTTTTAATGTTCATTTTCAAACAGCACAACAATATACCTCTGACATATTGTTCTTTCAGCCTAATAAGACTGCCAGAACTTTCCCAAAACTATTCTCATTTTTATAAACTTTTGTGGTTTTTTTGAGACACAGTCTCACTCTGTTGCCTGGGCTAGAGTGCCGTGGCGTCAGCCTAGCTCACAGCAACCTCAACCTCAAACTCCTGGGCTCAAGCAATCCTTCTGCCTCAGCCTCCCAAGTAGCTGGGACTACAGGCATGCGCCACTATGCCCGGCTAATTTTTTATATATATTTTTTTAGTTGGCCAATTAATTTCTTTCTATTTTTTTTTTTTTTTTTTTTTTTTTAAGTAGAGACGGGGTCTCACTCTTGCTCAGGCTGGTTTTTCACTCCTGACCTTGAGCGATCCTCCCGCCTCAGCCTCCCAGAGTGCTAGGATTACAGGTGTGAGCCACCGTGCCTGGCCTCATTTTTATAAACTTTTAATTTAAAAAAATTAGGGTTTTGGGGGGGAGGAACAAATAGAAAAACCAGTTGCATGCTGTAAGAAACTATTTGAAAATTTATCTTCCTGTTTTAGGGCACCTACTTAGTTATTGTCATCATAGGAAAAATAGAACTTTGTAGACCTGTGTGTCTTGTGGAAATATTTAATTAAGTTTTATTGAAGTGGCTATAATAATACTGACCACTACTCAAAGCACAGAAAAAATGTAGGGGTTTCCTGTAAAGAGTTCATAAATGAAAGATTAAGCTACATGATGAAGGGTAGTGACTCTGAAAATTCATTTGTCCAACTTTTGCTTATTCTAAAATTCACAAAGCCAATTTGCTGATCACACTCTTTAATTATCATCCCCTCATCATTATCAATCATTAGTTACAACTAATTACAGACATTCTTTGAGAGACATTGTAACAGATATGTTGTAGGTAGGCAAACAAAACTACACAGATTATGTTCTCAAGTTGTTTTTTCATCTATTTAGGAAATTTACTGAAAAAGTGAATAACAATACTATAGCCAAATACGTAAAAGAAACTAAAAATTTTGAAGAAGAGATCACCGTGTGCTGTAGTGGATCAGGAAACTTTGCTGTTCGTGGTTGAATTCAAGCTAAATTATTTTAGTAAACAATAGTGTATTCACAGCAAACACTTTTTCATCATGAGGATAATCTTCATTGTAGAAGCCTTCACCTGAACAATTTACATTGGTAGAAAGAGCACTGAATTAGAAGTCAAGAAATAATGTTCTGCTAGGTGTAGTGGCCCATACCTGTAGTCCCAGCTACTTGAAATTAGGTGAGAGGATGGCTTGAGGCCAGGAGTTCTTGCTTGGGCAACAAAGCAAGATCTCATCTCTTAAAAAAAAAAGAAAGAAATCTGTTCTAACTTTTCAACCAGTCAACAAGAACTCATTAAATTCTGGTGTGCCTGGCAGTGTGTCAGGTATTAACAATACAGAATTGAATAAGATATAGTCTTGGGTCTCAAGGAAACTACATAAACAAACAACAATAAAACAGAATAATAAGAGACAAACATAGGACAATGAGGGACAGCGGTCAGAGAAGGCTTCCCAGAAAAGATGACACCTAAACTGATCCCAAATAATTTATGTATATTAGCCAGTACATTCCAGACAAGTGGACTGTGTGAGAAGGGTCTTGATGCAAAAGACAGCATGGTGTGTGTGATAAATTAAAAAGCAGTGTGTGTAAGGTCCTGAAGCCTTAAAGCATAAAGTTTAAGTCAAGCTGTGGTAGATGAGTTGGACCAGGACAAGGGTAGAATGTATCTCATGTAAATGAATATGGATTGTATCAATGATATGGGGGGTCCATTGAAAAGATTTTAGCAGTTGAATGGTCACAATCATGTTGTAGATAAATTGTTCCGGATATTTTATGGAAGTTATATTTGAGGAGCACAAGGCTAGAGACAAGGACACCAAAACTTGACTGTTACACTTTTCCAAGTTATACGGCCTAAAACTAGAGTATAGGGTAGAGAAAAGTGGTTGGAAAAGGGAAAATCTTAAGTAAAAAGTGCAAGTTTGGCCGGACATGGTGGCCTACACCTATAATCCTAACACTCTGGGAGGCCAAGGTGAGAGGATTGCTTAAGGCTAGGAGTTCAAGACCAGCCTGAGCAACATAGCAAGACCCCATTGCTACAAAAACTAGAAAAATTAGCTGGGCATGGTGGCATGTGCCTGTAGTTCCAGCTCCTCAGAAGGCTGAGGCAGGAGGATTGCTTGAGCCCAGGAGTTTGATGTTACGATGAGCTATGAAGATACCACTGGATTCTAGCCAGGGCGACAAAGCCAGACCCTGTCTCAAAAAAAATAATGCAAGTTTGATGTTGAATGGGTCTCTCTCCCTTTGAAGTGAGGAGATCAGAACAGCCACCAATGGCAGTAGAAAGATTAAGTTGGTAGTTAGTAAATCTGTTTTGGAAATCCTAGCCTCATGCTTTCAACAAATATTAGACTTTTAGTATGTACCAGTTATTGTACCTGAGGCTTGGACTACAAAGCTCTCACGAAACTGTCAGAGATAAGGTATTTTTTAGTATTTTTTTCTTCTGTAAAATTGTTTTCCACACACGATTTGTGAAGATTGGTAGCATTTAAAATTGGAAGCACTGGAACCCTGTAGGATGTTATGTAGTGTTTTCATTCTTTTCTTTACTGTGCATATAGGTATTTGTATGTCGTGGCCCGTTTACAGGACGGAGGATGAACACAGAACATAAAACACAAATGCGCAGAACACAAAGAAAAACGCAGACACACATACAAACAGTTGACTCGAGTAATAATACACCGGGTCCGTTTTATTTTTATACTCTAAAAGATTAAAGTTAGTTCCTTGTAGGTAACCACTCAGGCGTGGCAGCGATAGCCGTAAATTCCAGAATAGCCTTAAGGAAGCAGATATCCCCTGACTCAGAATTTCAAGGTGGTTGCTCTAGGGACTAGACATAGAAAAAGGACCAAGATTAGCTAGGATGGGCAAGGTGAGCCACAGGGGGCATTTCTTATCCGCTGCTTCTCTTAGGGTGACCCCCTAAGATCTTCGGCTGAACCCCGGCGCTGTGCCTGGCTTAGGTCACCCCTCCCTTGAGGGGTCTTACCCGTCATTGACTAACCAGCCATCTTATGGGGTGTAGGCAGCAATCACAGGAACAATATGTTTATCATGTGGTTTCCAGACCCCCAATGCCGCCATGGGGCGGGGCTGCTCTTGCTAGTTGCAGCTCAGGTCCTTTGTTATGCCTGTAGGCAACACCTTTGTTTATCACAGGGAGCCTGTCCGGAACAGATTACTTTCAAACGCTCTGGGCAGATGTTATGATGAGCTATTACTCACTAACTTTAATTAGTTAAACATTACTCACTAACTTTAATTCTTAAAGTAGGAAAATATATGTCAGTCCCCTAAATTTGTATTTGGTATATTTTCAGGATTAGTGCAATGGTTAAGAATAAAGATAGAGGCCAGGCTTGGTGGGTCACGCCTGTAATCCTAGCACTCTGGGAGGCCGAGGTGGGCGGATTGCTCAAGGTCAGGAGTTCAAAACCAGCGTGAGTGAGACCCCGTCTCTACTAAAAATAGAAATTAATTGACCAACTAAAAATATATATACAAAAAAATTAGCGGGGCATGGTGGCGCATACCTGTAGTCCCAGCCACTTGGGAGACTGAGGCAGTAGGATTGCTTGAGCCCAGGAGATTGAGGTTGCTGTGAGCTAGGCTGATGCCACAGCACTCACTCTAGCCTGGGCAACAAAATGATACTGTCTAAAAAAAAAAAAGAATACAGATAGAGAATATAGAATGTTATAGAACCAGTCTATCTAGATTTGAGTCCCAGATCTACCATTTATTAACTTTGTAACCTCAAGCAGGTTATTTAACATATCTCTTAGTTTCTACATCTATAAAAATCTTTATTTAATAGCACATTAACATTGAATTGATTTGAGACTTTTAATGAGTGTGTATTTATGAAGTATTTAGGACAGTGCCTAAAACATACTAAGTACTATATAAGTGTTTGTTTCAATAGAAAAGTAAGTAGGGGAGCATCATCAGTAAATTCCACTTAGTCACAATAGGTTTCTAAGTGAAAGTCCACTTTAGATGGATTTAGTCAATCAACATGTATGTTTATTTTCTGCCTAGTATGATAAAGGAATTTAAAAGTAATAAAATCCAAGCTTCTGCTTTCAGTGACTTATTGGGAGGATAAGATGATATAATTTATTCATTTAATAAATAACTCTTAATAATTGAGGTCTGTAATAAGTGATGGGGATATACAAATGAGTGGTACCTCCCCTCATATCTAAAGGAGAACAAAATATAAAATTGTATGGGTGGTTTAACTTGAGAGTAGTTGGAAGGTCTGAGAAAACTGAGCTTGGCTCTGTTAACTCCAAAATTCAAAACACTCTGCAAACTGAGCTTAGTTTTCGTTAGCTTGGTGCTAAAACTCATTTGGCAGTAAAACCTGACCTGAACTGACCTGAGGGTATTTATAATCTTAATCCTATTTAGAGTGCCCAATCGTAAATTTGCTACAGGAATATTGGTGTATTTGATTACAGGGTATTTGGTTACCCTGCTGGAGATGTTGCATACTATATGTTAGATGTTTTGTATAAGAAAAGCCACCAAATTCTGAATTCTAAATACTTCTGGACTCAGAATTTCTGGAGAGGGATTAATTGGTTCATACTGCACATTCATGTCAGACAGTATAGAAAATATAGATAAAAATAAATTAAAACTTGCCTGTAAAATTAAAATCACATCTGGGTGCAGTAGCTCACTCCTGTAATCCTAGCACTTTAGGAGGCCAAGGTGGGAGAATCACTTGAGGCCGGGAATTTGAAACCAGGCTGAGCAACATAGTAAGGCCCTATTTCTATCATAGTAAGGCCCTATTTCTATCTAAGAAAAATTAGCCAGGCATAGTGGCACATGTTCATAGTCTTAGTTACTTGGGAGGCTGAGGCAAGAGGATATTTTGAGCCCAGGAGTTCTAGGTTACAGTGCACTGTGATAGTCACTCCAGCCTGGGGGACTGGGTGAGACCCTGTCTCTGAAAAAAATAATAAATTAATTAAAATCACTATGAAATGTTACTACACACACCCACTTAGGCTTGTAACACATTGACTGCCACACTAGAAAAAAATTTTTTCGGGCCAGATGCTTTGGCTCACACCTGTAATCCTAGCTCTCTGGGAGGCTGAGGCGGGAGGATCATTCAAGATCAGGAGTTCTAGACCAGCCTGAGCAAGATCGAAGACCCGTCTCTACTAAAAATAGAAAGAAATTAATTGGACAACTAAAAATATATAGAAAAAATTAGCCGGGCATGGTGGCGCATGCCTGTAGTCCCAGCTACTCGGGAGGCTGAGGCAGGAGGATCATTTGAGCCCAGGAGTTTGAGGTTGCTGTGAGCTAGGCTGATGCCACAGCACTCTAACCCAGGCAACAGAGTGAGACTCTGTCTCAAAAAAAAAAGGAAAGAAAATTTTTTTCTGTGGCGCCATAGTGTTTTATTACGAAGATAAAATAAGAACTTTGAAAACAAAACTGTCCTTTCTAACTTAATGAAAAATTTGTTATTTCTTTTATTGTTTCTGTGTATGAGTTATATGCAACTTGAAAAATGGTTCACACAGCTCCCAAGGTAGAGACATATGACTTACATATGCGCCATGAGGCCTCAGGCTCAAAACCAGTGTGACTTAAATACAACTCACATGGCAGTTAATGTGTTAAAATGAAAAAGATTGAGAACACCAGATGTTAATGAGGAACTTTGCATATTTTGTCAGTATAAAATAATATAACTACTTTAGAAAACTTTTTTATTTATTTTTTTTTTTTTTTTTTTTTTTTTTTTTTTTTTGAGACAGAGTCTCGCTTTGTTGCCCAGGCTAGAGTGAGTGCCGTGGCGTCCTAGCTCACAGCAACCTCAAACTCCTGGGCTCGAGTGATCCTTCTGCTCAGCCTCCCGAGTAGCTGGGACTACAGCATCGCACCACTGCGCCGGCTATTTTTTATAATATATCAGTTGGCCAATTAATTTCTTTCTATTAAGTAGAGACGGGTCTCGCTCTTGCTCAGGCTGGTTTTGAACTCTGACTTGAGCATCCGCCCGCCTCGGCTCCCAACGAGCTAGGATTACAGCGTGAGCCACACGCCCCGTAAGAAACTTTTTGGCAGTTTCTTTTAAAGTTAAACATACACTTACCATACTACCCAGCCATTCCACTCCTGGGTATCATCAACTCAAGAGAAATGAAGACACGTGTTTACAAAAATTCTTGTACAAGAATGTTCATAGCAACTTCATTCATAATAGCCCAAAACTGGAAACAGCCTAGCTATCTATCCATTAACAGTTAAAAGAACTGTAGTATACAATGTAACACTCAGCAATTAACAGGAACAAACTACTGACACATGTAACAGCATTGATGAATCTCAAGAAGAAGCCAAATACAAAGTAGATACTGTATGATTTTATTTACATAAAATTCTACAACATGCAAAACTAACCTGTGGTGATGGAAATCAGATCAGTGATTGTTTCTGGGGCAAGGGTGGACATTGACTGGAAAGGAGGTTAAGAAAACATTCTTGGGTATTAGAAATTTGTTGTCTTGATAGGGATGTGGTCATATAAGTATATCCATTTTTCAAAAATAAACAGTACATTTAAGATTTTGTAAATTATAAAGCAAAAAAACCTTATAATCTTACTGCTTGGAGATAACTATATTTTGGTTTAAATCTTAAAACTTTAAAAAATTTGCATAACATTTTTATAAATGGAATCACACTGTATATACTATTTAGTAATGTGATTTCTTTTACTCAAGTATAAGTCTTATGTAATTATAGCTTTGTGATTTTTTATTTTTAAAGCAAGAGTTCCCTTTAAACTATTTGCTGGAAACCTAAGTGTAAAACAGATAAAAGCTGGGCTGCTTTGGATGAATGGGAGGAAGGAAGAATGGTTGAAATACATGACCTGTAAGATTCTAGTTCTAAAGATGTACTCTGTAGGAGAGTTATAAGTTTCTCCTACATCACAGTCTCTTACATGTCTTCTTTTTTCCATGAGTCTAGCTAAATGGAAAATAATAACCAACATTTATATGGAACATGTACTATGATCCAGGGTTTGTTCTAAGTGTTTTGTGTGAATTAACTAATTTAATGCTCGTAACAACCTTACAAGGTAGGTAGGCTCTTATTCCTATTTACAAATGGCACACTGCAGTGAAGTGAGATTGGATATTTACCCAAGGTCAGACTGTAGGTAAATGATGGAGCCCAGATCTGAACTCAGTCTGTTTGGCTACAGAGTTCACCACTGTAATCCTGCTTTCAAAATAAAATAATAATTTTGCTTTGTATCCATGAAAAGACAGAGATCTTTGTGTGATAATTTTGCCTTTTATATTTGTCTAGAGCTAGCCAACATAGAAGAGGATCCTCGATCAGCTGGAGTCGCTACCTTTGTTCTTCAAGAAGAATTTGATAGATATTCTGGCTATTGGTGGTGTCCAGAAGCTGAAACAAGTAAGGCCATTCATAATAATATAGGTCAATTAAAGTATTATAAGATTCTACTACCAGTTAAGTGCACAGATTGTAAATCTTGGATAGTAGATTCTAAAGTGATGAAGATTGGATCCTATTACTAGTTATTTAGAATATATAGACTCACCATAATAAGTCTAGTAAAACAATTGTATTGTGGTTTAATGCCTGAGGTCCCTCAGTTCTCTTTACCACTTTGTCATATAGAAGCTGGTCTTGATGATATTGACAACATTGGTGGCAAAATAAAAAAATACCACACCTTCATAGATACCCCAGTTACCCTGATTTGGTCATTATACATTTTATGCCTTCATCAAAACATCACATATACCCCTTAACTATTATGTAATTAGTAATTAAAGATAAAAAAATTGAAGTAAAAATTAAAGAAAAAGAGGCCAGCTCAGTGGCTCATGCCTGTAATCCTAGCACTTTGGGAGGCCAAGGTGTGAGCATCACTTGAGCCCAGGAGTTCAAGATCAGCCTGGGCAATATACTGAGATCCCATCTCTACAAAAAATTTAAAAATTAGCCAGACATGGTGGCACACTTCTGTAGTCCCATCTACTCGGAAGGCTGAGGCCGGAGGGTGCTTGAGCCCAGGATTAAAGGCTTCACACTGCGCTCTAGCCTGAGCAACAGAGCAAGCCTGTGTCT